TGCTGACGGGGACTGGGCGTTGTTCTCATATAACCCCAGTTCTCCGTCAGCTCCACTGGCTCCCGATTGAAGTCCGGGCCCAATTCAAGGTGTTGGTTATGACCTATAAAGCCCTAAACAGCTTGGGACCTGGATATCTAAAGGAACGCTTGCGCCCATATATGCCCTCCCACCCCTTGAGATCAGCAACGGATGCCCTTCTCCGAGAATCCTCTGTGAGTGATATTAGGAGGGTGAATACCCGGAGGAGGGCTTTCTCTGCGGTGGTGCCCCATCTATGGAATGCGCTCCCCAGAGAGGTCCGCCTGGCGCCATCATTATTTGTTTTTCGGCACCAGGCTAAGACCTTTTTATTTAAAACTTATTTTAATTGTTAAATTATTGAATTAATTAGGATTTTAATTTTTTTAGCCGAGAATGCACCTGGGGTTTTTAAATGTTTTTTTAATTGTTATATTATTATTATTTATGTATGTTTTAATGTATTCTTTGTGATCCGCCCCGAGGCTTTGTTGCAATGGGGGCAGCATAGAAATGTTTTAAATAAATAAATAAACATATGGTGGTGGCCACTCACTTAGATGTTGCCATTTGAAAAAATGAATTAGGGTAGACACATTCATGCAGCCTGCCATAGGCTATATTCAGAAACAGAATCAATGCAGGGGACAATCAACCCTCATACCCACTTAGATGGCCAGCTACTGTTAAAAACAGCTGATTCTCTGGCAACTTTACTCAAATAGACCTTTTGGCTGATCCAGCAAAACTCCTCCTGTGTGCTTCTCATATGCAACCTTCAGTTCTTTAAAAAACATCTCCCAATACCCTAAAGTAATATTTTTAAAAACTGATTGTATTGATAATTTGTTAGTCATGCATATCATATCCAGAATTCAAGAGAAACTGATACTATTTTAAATTAAGATATATGTACCTGCAGCATATACAAATGGGCTTGTATATGTTTGAAAAAGTCTTTAGGGCTACAGAACTAACCATACTTGCTGAAGAGTAAGCTTCACTGGGCACAACCTACTTATGAGTAAACCTGCATAGGATTGTGCTGTAAGTGAATGCAATGGAAAAGGTGGATCCAGATTTAGGCTCAGGCAACCGGGCTGGGGGAAGCAAATGCTCCTGCTTCTTCCTGCTCCTCACAGCAGCAACTCACCCCACTGAAAATTCTAAATACAAGAAGACCAGGGGCTAATGCATAGGCTGAGCTGTGATAGGGAGTGGAATTCCCCAACATCGGGCAGGAGCACTTTGAGTGAACAGATTCTTGATCGAATCTAAGCAATGTACAAAGAGCTGTTCACTGTGCTTTGTTCCTCCCAGTGCCAATATTTAGTCTGCTTGTTTTCAGGCCTGGTTGCAACTATAGGAAGATCATTACATTTTCAGAAGTTTGGGGAGGATGATCACGTATATACGTGGAATATGTGCCATACATCATCTGAGTCTGAGATCTTTCAACCAAACTAAGGATTCACCTACTTTTTTTCCAAGAGTTGAAGATGGCTTGTTGTTTGTTTGCAGCATTTCTATCCTTTCTTTACTTGGTGGATTTCAGAATGGCTTACAATCAGAGTGTAACAGCACATTAAAATATGGGTGTAAACTATAAAATTGGGACTATTTAAACAAGGGACTGTTGTTCCTCCCATACTTACCTCTGGCAAGCAGCACTGGACGGTTTTTATATTGCTTCTGACACCTACAATCCCTGTTAGCAGAGGTGGCTATGGTGTCAAACCAATCCAGACACAATAATATCAATGGTTCCCTTACGTATCTTCCGCTTTTAAAGAATTCTGAACATCTCCAGCCCAAATTGCCATCTTCCATTGCATAGTTGGGAATCTTGCGCCAAGGGCCAAATCTGAACCTTCTGGGGTCCCCATACTCAGCCAGCACCTGTTCCCTCAGCTACAGATTGTTTGGTGGTTCTTTGGCTTCTGTTCTGAAAGGCTGACATGTCTTTCCCGAGGCTTAGTTGCTATCAGGAAGAGCTTTATGCTACAATATGCTGGTGTATTTTATAATTTTGCCACCAGCACCCTTTGCATTCTGTCCTACTCAGAACTGGAATGCAGCCTCAAGCGCATTTTCATTGCTCCCCCATCACCGTTCAAGTGGGAAGGCTGGCAGTCACGCCTCATTTTTCTAAACTGCCCGCCATTCTCCTGGCTTGCCTCCTCGTAGTTTGTTCACTGATGAGCTTTGCTAAGCCCAGTGTAGGCACTACCTGCTCAAATATTACATGGTTTCATACTTCTACTTCCAAAGATAGACTGATACTATATTTAAGACTTTATTAAGAACAATATGCCCTAGAGAAAAACATTATCTTCACAAAAACAGCAAACTCTTACTTGGACATCTCCATTTTCAAAATGTGTGTTCCTCACAGCTTTTCTCAATTTATTCCTCCTTGCCTGTTTGTGCATTGTATTAAGAAATCTTGATTCAAACCAGTTGGAATTTCTTGAACTTGCATGATACCTGGAGGTGCTTCTTCTTATACTGGGCAGCCAATTTTAGTCCCTTTTCCATACTTCACTTCTTAAAATGTTATTTGAGAAAAAGAAATGGTGGGAATTTTCTCTGGTGAATTTGCTAGCGACTTTCTATAAAACCAGGCTACCACCGTATACATTATCATCACTGTATAATATTTCACTCTGCTTTGCAAATGCATCAGCACATCCCTATTAGTCTTGTCACATAATCAAATGTCTCCCTGGTGCACTGCAAAGGAGCTGATGATGAACTCTTAATGCTGTCAGTGTACACACAGCATCCATTATGTTCAGCATCACTTATCGATACTTGTGCCACAACACCACCTTCTCTCTAGTTGTGGTAGATGTACGAGAGGATATTGGACAAGAAATACAGGGCTTATCTGATCTCCTCTTTAGATGAGCCCCTGAACGGCTTCTGTAGATTGATCCCTTTAGGAAGAACATTAAGAGGGGGCAGATGGGTCTAATTGCCAAAAACAATTTCCAAAGAATATGAAAACGGCGCCAGAAAGGTTTAATAGAGATATCAAGGGAATGGCTGCCAATTCTTCAGCTGATGAACAGACATGTTTCCCTTCTATGATACCTGGTAAACATTGCGACTTGGATCCTAAAATGACTTGCTAAATTAAAGAAGTTTATGCAACCACCCCTACCCCCAGTGATCCCACTAAACAATGTGAGATGGGCACTGGGGTTAGTGGATACATCTAAAACAGGTGAGGAATCTTCAGAGGTGCTGATGGCCATTTTCCCATTCAGCAGGAACCTCCACCTGCATTGGTTCAGAAGGGAACCCTGACCACAGGAGAGGCTTGTGGTGGGGAGCTTTGAGGTGGTGTTGGATAAAGAAGGAAAAACATCCCCTCCTTTCCACAAATGAGAGAGGGAATCACTGTGGCAGCTCCAGAGTGGAGGTAGAACAGGCAGCTTTTCCTCTTGTCAGGGGTTTTCAGGGAAACAAAGTCACTTTGAATTCTAAGGATTTAGGGCTTCCTCTGATCCACCCCAGAATGTCCCATGTTGGGCAAAACACCACGGCCAGTACATCTGTACTGGCAGAACTTTCTGTTGGCGAACCAAGAGCTTCTCTGAATGCAGAAGTGCAGGCTATTGGTGGAAGACATTTTGACAGAATCCCGCAAGACTATAAGACTGCAACCTT